TTGTAACATATTTTCTTTCGAAGCAAAAATCATCAAATGAATTTTAATTAATAAATTTCTTCAGTTTTTGACTTGAACCGAATCTAAATCTAACCCTAAGTCCGCTAGTTATTGACTTTCCTTCAGTCCTGAAATAATAAAACAGTAAAACTGTAAGCATTGTTCACAATCAAGGAACAAATGGTACATATCTTGTTTTCAAAGTTCACAAGTTGTTTACTTCAGCAAAATGTGTAAACACTGCACTCAAGGCCATGAAGTTTTTTCCCCTCAAATTCAGAGCGCCTTTTCATTACCTTGCTGCTAAATCCTTTCCTTTTTTGCTTATAAGTTAACTTTATTCATGTTAATAGAATTGTTGAATTCATTCCTGTATCTTGCTGCTTGTATTTCTTTTTCTGTGCATACATACCCCTTTGCCTTTAGAAATGCTAATTTATTTTACTCAAAGAAATGTTATTTTACTCAACTCACTAACAAACAGAGGAGACCCACAGCATCATCTGGGATTTGCTGTATTTGAAATGTCATGCAATTAGAAATTTGGTAATTCAAGTAAGTGCTCTACCTCACAAACAATAAAACCAGTGCTGAAAGGATGGGAATTGTATGACATTCTCTTCTTTCCATTTTCTGTTATCTTTTCTCCTTTCTTCGTCTTTGAAGATGGGTGAATACAAAGAAAAAAAAAGGGAGAAAAGGGGAGAAAGAGAAGAAGTTAGGAGTAAGATGAAATTAATTGCTAAGTTGTGGAACAAGAGAGATGGTTCAGGAGGTAAGACACTCGCTGCCAAGCCTGAGCCCAAACACCAGAATCCACATGGTGGAAGGGGAAAACCAACTCCTTACAACTTGTCCTCTGACCTCTACATGTATACATACAGATAAATAAATAAATAACATTTATTTATTAATAATCACTAAAACATATGTAGCAATCGTTTAACGGGAACCAAATGCATATAAGAGACATACAGGGTTGAAGCAGAAAGGGAGGAGATCTTTTGGAATAGGGAAATAAAGCTGAATTATGGGATCCAAAGTTACAGAACTGTATATGAGTGTTCATGGGGTTCTTCAGGGTGACATTTACAACCTACTAGTTTTCAGTGATACATCTGCTGCATTTCTACACGGGCAGTACACGGGAAGAACTGATTTTTTGGCATAATTCTTCCTACCTCTGGCCTCTCTCTAACCTGTAGACACTGAGCCCACTGACTTAGTGAACTCTGGTTTCTTTTAAAAACTTTTGGTACTCCGTGGTATTGCTTTCTCTTCTTTCTGGCCTCAAACCAGATCTTATTCTCAGATTGTGCAAGTAGGTGGTTGACCTGATTATCTGATTAAAGTAATCAGATAAAAATGAGTCAATTTCTGCTTAAAAGGTACACTTTAGGGGAGGAGACTGTTGATTTTAGTGAGTCTACGTGCACTTTCTGGTTCTGTAATAAGTGGCTTTTCATCAATTCTCAAAGGAACCCACCCCCAGAAAATGAATATAAATGCATCTAAATGGCAATTATCTTAGAACTGAGGTATATATGTGGGCATCTGGCCTAGTTAGAGGCACCCTCAAGTACCATGCTCATCAGGCTAGAAATCCACTCAGCCTATAGCCTTCTCCCACTCCTCCCCTAGCTTTCACCAATGACATACCTCACAATTAAGTTCAGTATTATTTGGGGATTGAAAGGCAGAAGTGCAGAGGGCAATGGAGAACCAGTGAAACTTGCACCCAAAAAAGAAATGTGATCAAGGCTGGTGATGACACTCAGTAGTAGAGGATTTGCCTAGCATGTCCAAAGCCCTAGGTTCAATTCCCAGTACCACCTCCGCTGACATAAATTATTAGCACTGGTGAGAAGGCTCAGTGGGTAAACGAGCTTGCCATGTAAGCCTGACAATCTGAGTTCTACTGCTCCGCCCATGGCCTGAACCCTTGGTGAAAGGAGAGAACAGTTTAGAGAAGCTTGTCCTCTGACCTCCACACTCACCATAGCACATGAACACACACACACACACACACACACACACACACAAACATATACACTAACACACTAATAAAATTTAAAAAGAAATGTATAGATAAAATACATGTAATATTAAAAGTCAAAATTACAGGAAAGTTGCAAGAAAGGTGGGTGGTTCAATTTAACATTTTGCCACCTTTGTCATTCTGTCTTTGCTAAACCATTTGTTTTGTTTTGTTGTTTTTGAGACAGGGTGTCCCTGTAGCCCCCAGCTGGTCTGGAACTCACTATGTAGACCAAGCTGGCCTCAAAAATCAGAGCTCCACCTGCCTCTGCCTCCCAAGTGTTGGGATTAAAGGCATGCGCCACCACACCTGGCTGTGTATGTTATGTACACGAGTGTGATGCCTGAAAAGGCCAGAAGACAGCATCAGATCCCTTGGTGGTAGAGCTACACAAGGTTGTGAACTGCCTCATGTGGGTGCTAGGAATCAAACTCCAGTACTCTGCAAGAGCAGCAAGTGTCTTAACTGCTCCCAGTATGTATTTCTAAATATAATTTCTTTCATAGCACAATACAATAGTAAGAATCAAGAAACCTAACATCGAAACACCACCCTTACCTACTGTGTCCAATTCAAATTTCACCAATTGTCCAGAAAGCATTCCTTTATAATGTTTTTTTCTGGGACTTCATGCTGCCTTTAATGGCACCTCTCTTAATCCCTTAGGTCTGGAGCTGTTCCTCAAGTTTTCTTTCATGACCATGACATTTTAAGTGTACAGGTTAGTTTGAGGGCAAACTCTCTCAGTTTACATTTTTCTGACTTGTGATAGACTCAGAATATGCATTTTTTTAAACAAGGATATCACCTGAGCTGTGCCTTAAGTACTGCACATCAATCAGGGGATTCTTCACTTTATTCCAAAGTTGGTAAATTTGATCATTTTGTTAGGATGGTGTCTGTCAGATTTCTCCCCTGTAAAAGTACCTTCATTAACCATTTGTAATGTTTTAAAAAACCCAAAGCTATTTGAGAATGATAAATATCCTATTCCTCAAACAAGTTCCACCCAATGATTTTAACATCTTCTGATAATTCTTGTCTGAATCAATTACCATAACAGTTGCAAAATGATGCTTATAAATTCTACATGCATTTAGCTTGGCATTCTAGTCAGGATTCCCCTTTCTTTATATTTATCTAAAAGATAAGCTTGGGAATTTATCTCAGTCATACAGCATTTGCCTAGCATGTGCAAGGTTCTGAGTTTGAGTACCCCTCACATAAAAAAGGGGAAAGACAAACTTAAGGGGTCTTGGCATATACCATATTTCTGAGACCCTGTCTCAAAAAATGTTAAGGTGAAAATATGCACTTGTGTTCTTTTTAAATCTCGGAAGTGGGGGGCTGGAAAGATAGCAGTTAAGAGCACTGGTTGCTCTTGTAGAGGACCCAGGTTTAATTCCTAGCACCCACCCACATAGTGGCTGATAACCATCTGTAACTCTAGTTCCAGGGAATTTCAACGCCTTCTTCGGTGTCCACCCGAATTGCACAACACGGGTGCACTTACACACATGCAGGCAATACACTCATACACATAAAATAAGTATTTTTAAAAAACCTCAAAAGTGGGGCCAATGACATAACTCAGCAGTTAAAGGCACCTGCAGTAAGCTTGACCACTTGAGTTCTAGCCCCAGACATGGTGGAAGGAGAGATTGACTCCCCCAAATTGTCCTCTGACCTCCACATGGGTACTGTGTGTGCCAATCAAACACACACAAAATAAAATGCAAAAAATCCAATGTGCTGGGGGCTGGAGGGATGGCTCAGCAGTTAAGAACACTGGTTGTTCTCGCAGAAGACCTGGGTTTGAATCCCAGCACCCACATGGCAGCTAACAACTGTCCCTAACTCCAGTCCCAGGGGATCTGACAGCCTGTTCTGACCTCTGCAGGCATTGCCAGGACACGGGTGCACTTACCTACACGCAGGCGATACACGCATACACATAAAATAAAAATAAATAAAATTTTTAAATCCAATGTGTTATATTTCTATCCTATTAATCTTGATGCTCAAATTGCCTTAGATTTAGTACTGGCGGGTCCCATCAAGCCATCTTCTCTTTCTGACATATCCTTGTATACAATAAAAAAAAAATTGTATTTTCTGCCACAAGAATTTTCAAGGGCATATTTTATACATTTCCTATCTCTGCCTTGAACCGAGTCATTATCCCAACGAACTGGGTTCCTTTTAGTAGGGAATGGGTATCCAGAAACCAAGATCTGGACGCAAATATCTCAAAATATTTCAATCATATTTCAAAATATTAAGATGTTGCTGCTCCTGTTTCCCCAGGTCACCGTGGGGAAGACTGGCGTGCTGACTGATGCATAAAAACTCTCGCATCACCTGCGCGACTCTGGCAATTCCTCATTCCTTGCAGCCTGCAGCCATCACCTGAAAATAAACTGGATTCGACATTGTTAACCCTTGACGGGGTCATCAACAGTCTGAAAAAATAGGACAGAAGACGTAATCAACCTCTCCCCAGAGACTCGCTGAAATAAGCAAAAGTGAGCCCGCATCTCAGGGCTTCCAGTGTCCCCGCCACCTCCACCCGCAGGGAAGCAGTGTACTCGGAGGACAGCGGTTTTGGCGGGAAGGCCCGCAGCGGGGCGGAGGACCCGGGACGAGGCGCGAACCCACCCGCGAGGAGCGCCCTGCACCCTCCGCTTGGCCCACCAGGGCTCGCTCTTGCGCTTCGACTGGAAGGCCAGGGAAACCGGGCGGAGAGGACCGCGACCCCGCCCCCCGCAGCGCGAGGCGGGAGGGCGCCCGGCCGGAAGCAGCGCGCCAGCCAGAGCCGCTTGCCGGGCCCCC